TACTAATTGAATCTTGGTTTTTGTGAAGGGCATTGGGGAGAGAAACTTTTTTTTTTTCCTTGTAACTTCGGTTGTGGCCGTTGTAGAGGCTTAACTCTCTTTTACACATACGGTATGATGGATGATGAGAGATGAAATGGTCAGGACATCTTTTCCTCTTTTGTCTTTACATTATGAATTATTATAAAAGGAAGAGTTTCCTTTCACTCTACTCTAGACGCCTCCTGCTTTTGACTACAAACTTCTCAAAGTTCTTTTGTTTTTTGGTGCTCGGAAGTCTTCCGGCTTCTCGAGCAGGCTTCCGAGCACGGTGGAGCCGGGCGATCGTGCTCTTTTGTCTGTTAATTATCTTTAGTGGTCTATCAGTTTATTTTGTGACCCCTGGTCTTTGTTTTCTTTTCTTTTTTTCTGTTTCCTTTGTTCTTTTGTTTATGCTTGTTTAATTCAGATATGGTGGGAAAGAAAATAATACAGAAAAAATTAGGGGTTGGTCACTGCTAGCATAGATGTTCTAGCCACAGCATTATGAGATTGTGTTAAGTTTTTTCAAGAGTAAATTAAAAGATATTCAATAACACCTTAGTTTATTAAGAGGTTGTTGGTGTGATTTATTCATTATTTTTTAAATTTTAATTTAATATTAAACTTAATTTATTTTTATTTTATATTTTTAGTAGTTATGCTCCATCTTACGTATAATTATAAGGTTTTATCAATGAAGTAAGAATTCTTTTTTTTAGATATCGAATAGTTTTATTGCATTAATATGATTTTAGTTGTGTTAAAAAAGTTATTATAAATGATATATATAGAGTTGTGTGCTTTAGAAATGATTTGATAATTAAGAAATTAATATTTTTATATTAAAAATATTAAATTTAAATTTTGAGATAAATTAAAAGAAATTTTTTTAAAAAAATTATTATATAACTTATTATTTAATATAAATAAAATAAAATAAGACAAAAGATGCTGAGCTTACATAAATTTTTTCTATATAAGCATTTGGATATGTTCAAAGCATGCTTCATATATACCTATTCCAGCTCAGCCAAGTACCTTTCTCAATAAAGTTCTATTTGAGAATTAACATTGCTGTAGCTCACAAACACATAGAGCAAAGGCGAGTGTAAAATATTATGAAAAATAAATATTATTCAGTATTCAATGCAGAGAAAGCTTTCCAGAGCTACATAGTGGATTAATTTAATGAATCGTTTATTAATTATTAATTTTCTTTTTGTATTAATCTAGAATCTATAATTTTTTTAAATTGTCAATTAATTTTTAAAATTGTTTTAATTTTGTCGGTCGAACATTATAAGATTAATAAAAGTCCACATTATTGTTTATGTGGCAGTTTACACCATGCTACATAAGTAACACATGAGTTGAATAATTTTATTTTTGTTATTCTAATTAGATTTTGTTTTAATTAGATTAAATTATAATTTAATTATTTATTATTAATTAAGTTAGGGAAACAAAGAGATGAGAATTTTGCCTATAGTTTCAAGCAACTTGTTGCTTACATTACACCTTAAGCAATGACACGGACTTTTATCAATCTAAGTAACAAGATTTATGTTAATTAGATGAAATTGACACAATTTTAAAGGGTAATAGATTATTTTGAAAAAGAATAAAAATGTTAAACTAAAACAAGAAACGTTAATAATTAATAGAGGATTTATTAGATTAAGCTGGCACATAACCATGAAAATTGAAAACATTTACTATAATTTTCTAATTCTCTCGCCTCGATAAAAAAGAAAGCTAAAAATGCAATTAAAAATGCTTGTTTAGTATTGTATGCTGGGCCGAATAATGAGGGCTTAAGGCCCTGGCCGCAAGCCACGGTGCATGGCACCACGGGTGAGCATGGATAGTTATGAATCAAGTATTTGTCCATACCTATACTTGATTTGAACAGTGATATGTATAGAATTTTAATATTCAGTATTTATATGTGTATTGAAAATTTATATTTATTATCCAACTTGTTAAGTACAGGTATATCCACAAATATATTTGTATACTTGTTAAATTTTACACTAAAAATATATAAACGAATATATAACTATAAGTTCCTACATATAATACAAGTTTATATATAAAACAAAATATGTGAGCATATATACTTACATATACACAAGTTTATATATATAATAACAAAAGAAATACAAACAAAAATTCATATGATTTTCCTTCAATTGAATCTTCACTGACCAAAAAAAAAGGAAAAAAAAAAAAACATACACATTTTAATTTCATAACATTATATTACAAATTAACCATATAAAACTAGAATATAAGTTAGGTATATGGTTCAGATATACAGATTAGGTATATAGTCAGGTATATAAGTTAGATATACAAGTATTAACCCTTATACCCAATACTTACCTAATACTTAATAAATATGCATTTTTTATATCCGATATTTAACTGTCTCTTCACAGATACAAGTAAAATACATATTTAAATAAATCAAATATCTACATGTATTAGATATACCCGTACCCAATGCTTAGCCCTACATGGCACTATGGTAGCCGTCCAACTCATGGTTAGGGATGGCAATTTCCCCCGATCCCCGCGGGGCTCCGTGGAAATCCCTGTCACGGGGACAGGGTGGGGAGGAATATTCCTCCCCACGGGGCGGGGATGGGGAGCATTTTCCCTCCGCGAATTTTTCCCGCCACGTGGGGCCCCGCAGGGATCCCCATCCCTGCAAAAATTAAAATAAATATAAATTAATTTTATTTTAAATTTAATTCATCTTTCAAACTCTAATTCAAATCCAAACCCAAACACAAACCCAAATTCAAGTTCAAACTCAATTCAATCAAAATTAAATTTAACTCAATTTTACCTAACCCAACCCAACCCAACCCAACCCAATCCATAAAAATTAATCAAATTCATTCCCCTACTTACATTTAACCTTAACCCTAATTCATTTCTCAATTTTCATTTTCACCTTCCCCTCCATTGTTGGTTTAATTTTTGTTTATGTTTTAGTTTAGTTTGGATTAATCTTTGTTTATGTTTGGAATAAATTTGTTAATTGTTGGTTTAGTTATTTATGTTGAATTGATTTTTATTTATATTTGGA